TACAATCAAGACTCTCAATCTGTACCGTATCTGTTCTGTTAGAAAGATTTTGAAGGTTAAAAACATTTTCATGCTGTGTATTAGACATATTACTAAAGTATTCAACAAATTCATGTAAACTAACATCATGATTTGCATTACTCGATTTAGTTTTATACTTTTTAATATATTTCCAAAATTGTTTAGTATTAGTCTTGCTCAACTTAGAAAGCGTTTTCTTTTCCTGATAAAAATATTGCTTTTTAGCTTTGCGCTTACTTGCACAAAAAATGCTTCGTGCATTCAAAAACAAATTTCTATTGCGGTCTGACGGATCATCTTAAAATAATCTTTTGCACCTGTAAAATTCATTTTTATTTCGCTTACAATCATTGTCAAACCATAATGACGTTTTAAAATTGGAAGGTTTTCTTGTTGAACTTTTCTTTATAGTTTTACCATTCACTTTTAACGATATATCAAAAACTAAATCAGAAAACAAGTTTATACAAGTATCAATGTCAGTGTTATCACACGATAAATTATTTGTAATATCATCAATAGAATATTTATATTCATTCAATAATGAATCAAGTTTATCATTATCGATATCTTCCCATACTATTTTGTCATAAGTTATATCTTCATTTGCAATAGGTTTGTTATCAACATATGAAACTGAAAACGAAATTGGACAGTGATCAGAAAATTCTGAAAGGTCATGAACTTTCATAACATCAACAAGAGAAAAATATTTGAATCGGCAATAATGTAGTCTACAACACTTGCAGCTTAGCAGTTTCTTATAAGATTATAACACAACATGTAACATAACATGTAAAATGACCTGGTTCAAGACGGCCATTAACAATATAGACAGCATTTTCTTTGCACAATGTAATTAATTTATTACCGAAACTATTTATTTGTTTGTCAAAGGAAGTTCGAGATTGGATTCCTATAGGAATATCGTCTTCTTCAGGTAAATCAATAAAACGCTCAAGGTGTATATTTTCAATCATATCTGGTCTTTCACAAGTTCGTTTTTTTTTTTTTTTTTTTTTTTTTTTTTTTTATTGATCAAATATAAACATTGTATTTACAGCATGGGTATATAAACATATAACTATAAATGAATTCAAAGTAAAAAACAGAACATATCATAAAAGAAAAATAATTCATTTTACATACTACACTCATTCATCTGCACTCTCTCACTGCAGTCTGCGCTTTTGATATTGTTATTGATCATATCTATTCATCTTTTCAGTCATTTACTTATCTCTAAAGCCATTTTAAGCGGGGTAAAAATATAATAGTTTGATGTGTAGTTTTTGTATTGGTCAATACAGCCTAAAAGTTTAAGTCTGCATATATGTAGAGAATAATAATAATAATAGTAATAATAATTATAATAAAAGTAATAATAATTATAAGAAGAAGAAAACAAAAAATATTGTGTTAATCTGCATAAAGGAAAATTAGATAAGAATTCCACGCAGAATTAAAGGTTTCAACATTGTTATTTATCATTGCAGTCTCTTTTTCAATGTTGTAACAATATGTTATATATTTTTTAGCTCCAAAAACTGTGGGAATACTCTTTTGCATTCTACATTGATAAATATACATCTTAAAGTAAATTAAAATTAGATTTTTAGTTTTTGATAAAGGACTTTCATCTGTTAAGCCAAAAATCATTTCGTCTGCAGTTAATGACGGAAAAATATTCTTTTTTGTTTTGAAATAGATATCAATGATGTCCTTTACAAAACTACATTGCAAAAACAAATGTTCGATAGTTTCGTTTTCATTTTTACAAAAGGTACAAAGAGGATTATCATTATATTTAATTTTATGTAAATAATACTTAGTGCCAATTATTCTATGAATAATCCTAATTTGAAACCACTGTATCCTAGAATCTTTTGTTATTTTAAATGGCATTTCGTAAATTTCTTTCCATTTACTTTCCTCAAAATGAAGATCAAGTTTTTTCATCCAGGTTGCTTTACTTGTTGGTTGTGTGTTATTAGTATTCAATAAATTGTAAGTCTGTTTTGATCCTTTATTGTTAATAATTATGTTTTTTATATAAGGAGGCAATTTTGGTCCACAAGTTTTTTTTACGTCATTCATACTAAAATTAAATTTTGTCATCATTTCATTTATCATTTTTTTAATTCCATGAAAGATTAAAAAGTTTGCATTAAGCCTGAATATATTATTAAAATCTTCTAATGAGAGAAAAGCACCGTAAGAATCAAACATATCTCCGATATAATATACACCGGCTTTAAACCATGAATTAAGAAATATACTTTTATTGCCAATTAGTAATTTATCGTTATAAAACAATGGTAGTTCTGCGAATCAACAACATCGAAAAACATATCATTTGAACATGCAAACATTGATTTTTGTAATTTAAACCATATTATACCTTTGTTGTTTAATGAAACTAAGTCAATATTACATTTAAATTCACTTCTAAAGTACACAATTACCCCACCACTGTACCTTTTAGCTTTCTTATTATATTTCGGCCGAGGACATGAAAAATATTCAAAATTATTTAAGTCAATATTTAACACATTTGAATTCCATGTCTCTGTCAAAATCAAAATATCAAAGTCGTTCAGAAAGTCCAAAAAGTCATTATCAGTTAATTTATTTTTAATTCCCTGGATATTCCACGAGAGAAATTTTAGCTGCCTCCTTACGTTTTCCTACGCCTGCACACTATCTGTAACCATATGTTGGTTCTGGTCCCGACCTGAAATGTAAGGTTGTTTCCTCCGAGTGCGACGCTCGAGAATTTGGACAGGACCTGGCGGGAGACGGTCCACTGTGTAAGATCGATTATCGATATACAGTGTATCATATGAAAGCACTGCTGTTTTATTTACTTTTCTCGCCTGACCAAGATAAGGGATAAGATTTTGGCGCCTCTCACGGATCTCCTGAGGGTAATGGTCACTTACACCATCATCAGTTCCAGATAATTTGAGCCTTGCTTTTTCTTTCACCTCCATCTTATCTTGGTGAAAGTTAAACTTAGCAACAATTGGGCGTATTTTGCCATGTTCATGACTTCCGACACGATGCGCCCTATCAATTTTATATCTATATGCGTCAATTTTTCCAATTTTGTCAACACAAAACTTTAATACTTTCTCTATACAATTTTCTTTCTTTCTAGCCTCTCTATCTTTCTCTTCATTAATATTGTAGAATAACAGGTTATCTCTCATTGAACGCCCTTTAAGGTCAATAACATCATTTTTAACGAATCTTTCTCACGTCTTAGGTCATCAACTGATTTTAATAAGCCATCACTTTTTTGATTTTTCTGCCTTCAAAGCATTCATAACTTCTTCATTTTTCTTTTTTAAATCATCACACATTTCAGAGTCAAAGTTTCTGCTTGCTTCTAAATCGTTCAATTTGGTAGTGGTTTGCCCCATAGATTCCTCAAGAGACCATAATTATACGGTTTTCAACTTTTTTCATATTGCTTGAAATATTGAGAACATCTGACTCTATTTTTATCAAGTTTAGAAAGCTTTGTTTCTAAAGCGTATTGGCTTGATTTTATTGCATTCAACTCTGCCAATAATGTCAAGAACCATGATTGATTTTGAACATTTTGAGCACTGAATGAGATATTATCTCCAAGACTACCAGGCGAAATTGTTGTGTTAAGTGTGGCCGGCTGTTCAGAAGTGGGAGTCTGCACAGATGAGTTGGAAACAAATTGTAAATGTGGAGGATAGTGTTGCCAAGAATACTGCTGAGGTCCAAGTGAGGGAGGTGGGGAAGTCAGATTGTATCCCGAATACATTGGCGGCGTGATTTGGGCCATTACCGAAAGACGCTTTTCTGGTTGCTCGCTATTCAAGTTTGGGGATACAGCACTTTTACGTCTCTTTTTGTTTTTGTTTTTCTTTTTGCCACTATAAGGAGTATCGTTTGGATTATCCGACATTTAGAAACATTTATAAAATTCAGATGTTAAGACAAGTACTGTTGTTACCAAATTATAATAGTGTATTGTCCTGTTGTATTAGAATATTATAACTAATGAAAGTTTAACAAGCAAGACGATTGACAAAATGTATTGAATTGTTTTCAGTCATAATTGTAATATTCAAAAGACAGGAAAATGAACATGTTTTAATTCAGTTTTGTGTATCAGCTTCTTTTATTTTATTATTGTTTTTTAATTCATTTTTTTTTCATTTTATTTTATTTATTTTTTTAATTTATTTTGTTTTATTAGTATTTTTTATGATATGTTTAAATTATTATATATTAATGTATTTATGTATCTATTTATTTATTTATTTGTTTATTTATTTATTCATGTATTTTATTTATTTATTTATTTATTTATTTATTTATTTATTTATTTTGAGATATTTTATCAATATGAAACATACATTAGACAAGTCATATGATATCATCATAACTACTTCTGATTAGTAGTTATCATTAACGCGAATTGGACTTTTATGTAAGAATTGTTGTAACACAATGTATAATTATATTGATTGTGTTTAGTATAACATTTATGATCAAACCAAAAATAATTATATGTGGATGCTGTTGGTTTATTTGAGATATATGATTCGATACAACCTATATAAATATAGTAGATTATTAAATGTTTTAGGGCAAAATATTATCATTCATCATATAAATGTTCGTAAATATATTAAAAACGTTATCAACATTTATGAAAATGAAACATTTCTTTTTGGTTTTCTTAATCAGTATTTTGAATACGTACGAAAATGTGTTTTTTATCACTTACATCATGGGGGTGATGGTACATTGTAATAAGAATGATAGTTGTTATTATTAATATTAGTGTTATTAGAAAAAACAATATTGACTTTATTACAACTGAATCTTAAAAAGAAGAGGTTAATACGTGTGTTATAGAATGATATGCAAACCTCTTAATATAAAGGTTTTACGCCTATCGGAATGACTGGAACTGATAACTTGTGAAAAAGATTTTTATTTATCAATTGTTTCCATAGTGATTTCTAAAATGTGTGCATTTTTTTAAGACATAATTAATTAATTTATTTGAACAAAGCGAATAAAAAAACATATAAAAAAGTGAGATTTTGCCGCAATCATATCATCATTTATTTACCTTATTTCAGTTTCCGACATGTCAAAAGACCTAGATAGCAGTCATGAAAAAACAAGAAATGATATTAAAAGAATAGAGACTATCGAATCAACATTGGCAAGAATAGTACCACAGTTTGAATCTTATATTCAAAACAAGACGGATGATATAAAACATAGAATGCACGAACAGCGCATAGACAAGATTGAATCTGAACTCGCTTTAGTTTCTAACAAAACAGACAATCTCCTTGACATGAACGATGACAGTGAAAACGGGATGGTACAGTTACAAAGAACTATAAAAAAGGCATTCCACGGAGAAAAAATAAAAAGATCGAATATGGAACTTGAAATGAATGAAAAGATAAAGAACATTGAAGACTACTGTGTAAACTTTACAAAAACATCTGGACAACTTATCAACGAGTTCAAGAAAGAAGTTGCTATTGAAAACAAAGAATTTGCAGCCGAGACAGATAAAAAACTAATTAACGTTAACAATACAATAAATGACAATAAAATCGATATTGAGACAAGCGTTGATGATTTAGAAAATGAATTTTCCAAGACAAAGAAAACACTTTCAAATCTGGAAGATATTATATTAAAGGACAGGACAGGTAACATTTATTATATTCTTCTGACTGTATAGATCCTAATATATGTACGCACATTCATTTAAGCAGCATACCTCCAGATAACGGCAATTATTTAAAAAAAAAATGAAACTTGAGAAAAAGATAATAAAATTTAAAAAAAAGGTAAAATGATTCAAGATTCAGGTAATGATTTGCTTTGATTATGCGATCAATGACTGGTTTTGTGGTATTTATCACCTGATTTCTACTTCGTTACTCACGCAGTTAGGGATATTTGTTTCTTAATTTGTCCTCGGTTTTGCAATTTGCTTAGAATTATGTGCCATTTGCAATGTGCAAATTACGTTTTTTTTTTCGCTTTACAAAATTTAACTTTGAAATTTATTTTTTAAATGTTCATGAAAATTAGTAAGAATCTGGGATTTACAATACGGTACATGTGTTACGATAATATTCATTTTTATCTTATATTCATATATTCTTATCCCTCTGCTGCTGCACATTTAACTAGACCTATCACTGAAGGTGATTCAAAACCCCACCAGCACTTCTTGAAAAATAAGTAGTCTGAAGAAAAATTTGAAATCAACCTTTAGTAAATGGAGTATCAACTGTGCTAAAAAAATTATTTCAATTAATTGTAATTCTAACCACCAGGATCTTTATATAAACTTGCTATACATCAAGTTTGATACCTAACTCTAGTTATTGTCCCATAAACCGTTTTGCTATTTCTAGTGACAATGACATTGACCTTGATACCAGGGGGATAAAATGCAATACCAACCAGGGTCTCCATATAAGCTTGCTATACACCAAGTTTGATTACAATATCTCATTCCTAACTCTAGTTATTGTCCGGGCACCATTTTTCTATTTATAATAACGGTGACCTTGAAATTGACCTCAGGGGTTCCAAATGCAATTCCAACCGAGGTCTTCATATAAGCTTGCTATACACCGAGTTTTATTACAATATCTAAGTCCTATCTCTTGTTATTGTCCCGAAAACATTTTACTATTTTTAGAAGCGATGACCTTGACATCGACCCCAGGGGATCCTATTGCAATACCAAATGGGGTCTTTAGATAAGCTTGTTTTACACTTAGTTTGATTACAATGATATTAACCCTAACTCTTATTATTGTCAGGAAACTATTTTCTATCTTTAGTAACGGTGACCTTGACCTTGACTCCAGTGGATCGAAATGCTATACCAACCAGGGTCTTCATATAAGCTTGTTATTGGCGCCGCGCCGAAGCGCGGCGCCTTTTATGGAATGAAATCAGATTTTGTGAAAGGGCGACAGCAACTTCTCGAGCCTTTTATAGTTATTCATAATACAAGCCGATCATTCCGATCGGTATGAGGGTGCTTGATTATTAATTAGTCGCGATATGTACAATGAATAGCGAACTGGAGAATTTCGCAATGCAAATATTTTCAAATGAAATAACCTTTTCCGTCAATAAATCGCGCTCTTCGGGTAGTTTTATTTATCATTTTGTAGTACACAGTATGGTATGTTATTCCGAAAGCTGTAAATAGAATGATGAGTTGATGACCTAAATATTCCGAAAATCTATTTATAGAGGGATGTACTCATATCGGTAATTCCCGGTCTCTCCTGGTCTATTTTGACCGGGATTTACTAGTGACCGGCGAATAGTACCACACGTTTATTGTCCGGTCTCTCCCGGTTTTGGAGTAGATGTTTGGTATCGTTACAGAACAGAACAAATATTTTACATATAAATAAGCTTTTTTTTCAAAATGAATGTTTGTCACTTAGTTTGGTTACAATAATTAAGAAACACAGATCAACTCTCAAATTTATTGATTATTATAATACATAAACATACAATTCGAAAAAAAAACCAACAACACAAATCGCATGTTTTATTTTATCTATATGAGATAAAAACAATAAATATGTACAATAATTGAGAAAAAATGTACATTTTTATGGCATTAATATGACACTATCAACTTTGAAACATTTTATTTAATTTGTTATTCGTATTTAGTAAAGATGCCGATGAATTATTCAAAGTTACAAATCAGATTTTATGAATTATTCAATTGATTGATAATTTAAAAAATGATAAAGAAAAATACAAATGTACATGTATATGGTTTAAGAATAAACACTATTATATATTGAAAGATTAACCATAATTTACTTTTTTCCAGTTAAGTTTTGACTTATAATCGTCGGTCAATATGACAATTGAATTCTTAAAATAGTAGTAAACCTAAAAACTCAGTATTAAAATAGCGCATAAAACACAAAAAAGAAAAAGAAAACAAGATTCATAAAATCTGTAATTTTTTTATTAAAATAGATATTACAATTATTGTATAATAAACAATTATGCTCAACAGGATCAACATGGTAATATAACAAGTGTCATATTGTTACTAAGTGTGAACAGAGACCTTAAGAGGGGGTCTTCGCATAATAAGGGACAATTACACAAGTGAAGTGTGGTGTTGATCATGCGTTACACATATGGATTATAAATGATTGTATACATGTATATCCGTTGCTATTAATAACCACGATCATAAAGAAATAACAAGTAATATTTTATAATTTCTAGCATGCCAATCAAAGTTATAAATAATGAACAATGTCTTTCGTCCGTTCATTCATAAGTGATATACAATTCTGGTAAAAACCAATGAACCATTGATAAGTTTATAAGAATTAATATCTTGTCATCATATATCTACTAGTTCATCTGCACTTGCTGCATTTCTTGCTTGGACGCCCTTTGATGCTTTGCATCAATGCTTTTCTTGTACACTATGTTTGATTAAAGTATCTCATTCCTAACTGTAGTTATTGTCCGGAAACCGTTTTTTTTATTTTTAGAAACGGTGACCTTTATCTCGACTCCAAGTGGTTCAAATGCAATACTTACCAAGAATTCTATATAAGATTGCCATATACCAAGTTTAATTACAATTGTCTAATTCCAAATTCTTGTTATCATCCGGAAACCATGAAGTGGACCAAACGACGACCGACGGACTGATCGACTGACCAACTGACCGACCAACAAGCTGACTCCTATATACCCACTAAACATCGTTTGTGCGGGTTTTAAAAACTATATTTATCTGAAAAGTTAAACCATTTTGTTTGACAATTTTACAAACAAAATTCGGTCTGGTTATATGACCTCTTACAGTTGAAAGCTAGGAGACACAATCTGGAAAAAATGGCAGATCCCCCAGAAGCAACTTAACATCATAAATATATTGAATGTGCAGAATCGTCTTGATTGAACCTGTTGAAGCATTTAATTTCCTTGGTTATATAACCCGTTACATTGTTTGTATATTTAAAGAGTTTCCTTTACTGTAAATTGTATTGTTTTCTTGTCAAGATAATCAAGTTTTTGCACAATATTTGAAAACAAATCACCAGAGGGAACTAATAAGTATAATTATACTTTCAAATATAACGTTTCAATTAATTGACGGGAATTTTCTGTTACTTTGGTTAAAATAAATCTTATTAAAAAACCTACATATATCACGATATACAAATTCAACCTTAGACAAAATAGTACCACAGTTTGAATCATATATTCCAAACAAGACGGATGATATAAAACATATAGTACAACGCATAGACAAGATTGATTCTGTGCTCGCGTTAGTTTTTAACAAAACTGTGTAAACTTTAAAAGAACATCTGGACAAGAAAAAGGTTGCTATTGACATGATTGAAAACATCGAATTTGCAGCCGATACTGATAAAAAGAATACTTAACATAAAAATTAAAATAAATGACAATAAAATTGATGTGGATTCAAGTTTTAATGATTTATAAAAATGAATTTTCTAAGACAAAGAAAACACTTTAAAATCTGGAAAATATTATATTAAAGGACAGGGCAGGTAACATTTATTTCATTCATCTGACTGTAAAGATACTTATATATGTACGCATGTGCATTTAAGCAGATTGCGTGAATTATTTAAAGAAACTGAAACTTGATAAAAAGGTAATACGATTCAAAGACAAGTAAACTGATTCAAGATTCAAGTAATGATTTGGTTTGAAAATGAGATAAATGGCTGATATTTTGGTATTTATCACAATATTTCTACTATGTGACGAACACAGTAGGGGCTTTTTGTTTCATAGTTTGACCACATTTATGGTAATTTGCTTGAGTTGTGAGTGTCGTTTGCAATGTGCAAATTACTTTCTTCGTTCGCTTCACAAAATTTAACTTTGAAATATATTTTTTAGATGTAAATGAAAATGTGAATGCATCTGATGCTTTAAAGGTTAATAATACAGTACAAGTGTAGCGACGATTTTCATTTGATCGTCGTATTATCATCACCCGCTGCTACTCTAAATGATTAAGTTTTTTTTTATCTGAAACTAAAACCTAGTTTTAGGAATAGAAGTCCTCCTGTTTGAATGGCCTCTAACACGTGTTCCGGGAAACGAACACCTTTCAAAAATATGGCAAAGAGGTAGATCCCCGGAGGCAACTTAAACAGTATACATATATGGAAATTATTGAATTGCTTTGTTAAACTGTAAACTGTAATGTTTTCTAGTCAAAAGCTGAGTGTGCAACATATTCAGAAAAATCACCTCTTCGAAATAATAAGTATATGACTATACTTCCCAATATAACATTTCAATCAATTGACGGGAAATTTCTGTTAATTTAATTTGGACACATTTAATTCGGAAGCATACACAATTTATCAGAATCAGCTATATAGTGTTGGATTACAACAACATATATTAAATCTCATAAAGTTCTTCTGAATCCGAATTTTCTGTTTAAAGGTGTATACTGTATATATTTTTATAAGACAAAACTTCTAAAAATTAAACTGAATTAATTAAGAATGTTCTGTTGTAGATGGAGGATGGAGTAGTTGGGGTAGTTGGGGCTCGTGCAGTGATACGTGTGGTAGAGGAGTAATGATAAGATATAGAACATGCACACAACCCAAGCAATCTCTCAAAGGAAAAC